CCCCAAAACCCCAAAACCCCAAAACCCCAAAACCCCATAAAATATCATTCAGATTGAATTTCAACATAAAGATTTATTCAGTCAGAAATTATGAATACTTCGCCTTGATGTTGTGAATAAAGTTGTCAAACCTTCGCGACCAAGTCCTTGATGCTCTTGCTATCTCTTTCCTAAAATGAACAGAGGCTTCTTGGTCTGTGTAATCCAGCACCAAAGCGTCTACTATTGATTGGATATCTTTTTCCTTGCTCAACTCAGGCATTCCAGCAGAGAGCATAATCAAGAACATATTGATGAATTTATGCCCTTCTTTTCTCAATATATTGTAAGCCTGACAGCACAATGACTCAAAGAGTTGAAAATTCTTGGTTTTTTTCTTGTTAGGCTTCCCTTCTCCATAATAATTTCCATTTATTTCATCAAAAATGGCTTCGTCTTGTAAATTCTGAAAATCTTGGAGAGACATTTCCTTCCTGCTCGATATTGGAATGTAGGACTCTTCACCCTTCAACTTGTCTTCAATATTGATGTTGATGAAGGCAACCATTTCTTTGGTGAGCACAAAAGGGTCCCTCTCACGTTTAAAGCCATACTTTTTCTTAACGTTTCCTAAGAAATGACCGAAGTCAATATGAAAGAGATTTCCTTCATCCATGTTCAGCATGATGTTGTCTGGGTGTCTATCACCAAGGCCAAGAATGTAACTAGCGACACAGTAGCCTGCAGTACTTCTGATGAAGTTATACTGAATCTTCTTCCACATTGCCTCCTTCTCTTGAACAGAGGATCATTTTTCGTTGACTTTGTCAGTCATGAATTTATCGATTGTATCGTCACGAAAGGTTTTCCAGATACCTTTGTGGTATTGGATGTAAGCCAGAGTAGTAGAGTTAGCAACAAACTCTAGATAGCCTTGCTCTCAGCCAGTCCCAATAACTTTGTAAGGATTCATACATAAGTCAAGTTCATTATCCAACCAAATCTTGTCCATGAGGTACAACATCTGCATTGTTAGAATATCCTGCCTGAGATCATCTCCATTCTTAAATATTGTGACAATTGGGTCCCCTCCAGGCTGCTGGTTTATGCCAGTGATTCTGAGAGGAATCTTTTTAGAAGAAAAGACCGTAAAGCTTTCATAATTAAACTCAGAGATCACCACCTTAGGCTCTCCTGTGAATGTGAATAAGAGGGGTAGATGCTTCCTTGCTCTGCTCAAGAAGATCTTGCCAGCCTCCTTGACCTTGTCCCATGGCTGCTTCTCGATGTTCTTGAGGTTCCAGATCTTTTGAGAGACTTGGGCAAGAATGTTGTTGACCTTGCATTGGATGTTCAATTCCTCCTTAAATTTTCCACATAACAACAGAAATTGTTCTAATAAGATTGAGTATCGTTCATAAGAAGGCTTCATATGCAGATTGGACTTCAAAGCCCAAAAGAAACTATGGCCTACAACACATGGGTTTTTGAGAGCTCGTTCAATAAGAGTTTCAGCAAGAGGGCTCAAATGCTGCTCTTCATATAAGATTGCTTGAGCAAATTGAATCATATAAAGAGAGATTTTATCATCGCTTAATCTCGAAATTTGGCTAACTGCATATCTTCTCACCTCATCGTCAGGAAATTTTGCATCAAGGAGGCAGATAGCATCTTCTGGGTCCATAGGTGCCCAATTTTGGATCATTTTATAAACCTCATTAACTTGAACTGGTCTGTTCCATCTAACACTCCTCAAAAATAATGGAAGGCCAGAAGGAAGAGTCTGGTAATGTTCCCTACACTTAAACAGAATATCTTTCTCCTTTGGAGCTAGATCTTGGAGAGGATTTTTGAGCAGGTACTTCTTCAAATCTGCCAAGTCTTCATTGGTCACTGCAGCATCTATCAAATTCTCCTTATCTTGGTCATCTTGCTTATTACTCGAAAAGTAGATATTCTTCATATCTTCATCAGTTCTTGGGGAGTAATACATCGGCAAAGCAAACGACTCAAGTTCAATGTATAGTTTTGAGAACAAGGTGTTGAAATTTATCCCAGAGATGCTCTTGTCTTTAGAAACTCCATAATACTCCTTCATTCACCCAAGTCTCGAATCAATTGAGTAGAAGGGCCAGATGTTCAAATCTCTGATGCCTGAGTTTAGCTTCCCTTGGTCGTCGAATAAATTAATACTGACTGAGCCAATGATCATTTCAATATCTTCAGAGGTATTCATTCTGATATTAAAGCTAAGTCTGGTCTTCTTGCTTAATTCACAGTAGCGCATCTTATCGAACGAGATCCATTCATTGAACTTTGCATTGTTGTTGAAATTTATTTTCTTTGATTTAACTACATTAGACAAAAGCTCACAACCGTGATACAGCATTCATTCCACCTGGAGATACAAAGGAGTGATGGACCCCTTCCCAAACATGATTTGCTTGAAGCGTGCAATTTTGTCATAATTTATGGAAAAGTTACCAAACATTGAATTGATTCCCAATAAATAACTCTGACTGTCATACTGATCTACCTTTTTATAAATAGATTTTATCATCTTTGTTCGCTTTAATCTCTTATGGATATTACTTATTTTAGCTTGGGATGCTAAAGCATTGAATTCCTTCTTCTTGAACTTCATTAAAGTAACATTCCTGGGCTGAGTGGCCTTATTATCAGTAGCTTCTTCACCAAGGATGATCTCGTTAAAGACTTTTCACAAGCGTTCGAACCCGATTAGTTTGAATTTGAACTTATAGTTACAATTCCCAGACCTCATCTTAACTTTTGAGCTAGTCCTGCGATAAAGGGTTCCCCTCCTTTTCCTTCTGAAAGATTCGTGAGGAATCTTAACCAAATATTTATTCTTCTTATCGCTTCTGATATAAGAGCTTTCGACTATTTTATCAAGGCCAGAGACAGGAGGGTACCAAAAGTAGGGACTACTCCACATGATATGTCCAAAATCAAACTTCTCTCCCTCCTCAAATAGGAACAGAGGTGGGAAGAACTTGTCAACATGCATTTTGGGGATTTCAGTGAGAATTAAGTCTAATTTGTCCTTCTTCCCTCTTAGGCATAATCTGACTCTTTCATATGCCAGGAGTTGGTAGTTTCCTTTGAAGTACTCTCTGAAGCCATCCACTTTAAGGATGAGCATGGAACCTTCGCCAGCAGGCTCAATGAGGACTAAAGATTAATGAGGGAATATACCTCCGTATTTATTTTTGATTTCATGGAGTACATTCTTTATGGTCTCTTTTGAACTGGTGACTAGAGACTCCTTTATCTCTACAAAAAACTTCTTGATAGCCTTATTTTTCTTCTTCATCTTAATCTTGTCGTCATATTTCATCAGGTTCACCCTCAGATTTATATGAGGAATTGAATTAAAAGCTTTACTCAGCTCTGATTGAAAGATATAGCAAGGATAATCAGACAACTCTCTTGTTAAAAGGTACTGGGGAAGCTTTCTCCTTCGATACTTATCAGCCTCTCCCTTATTCGAGAGCCATATGAAGCCTTCTAGCTTTATGAGGTTCCTGATGATATTCCGATGCTTCTGTATTTTGTCCTTGATTTCTTTCTCTCACTCCTCTCTCATTTTATTTCTCTCTTTCCTTAACGAGTTCAATGTCTTTTTCTTTATCATTATCCTTAGGAAATTTGATTTCAATGTGTGGCTCGATTATGAGATTATTAGTAGACATTGACAGTCGGTAATGCAAACACGAAATTGGGTCTACTCACACAACCTCAAGGTTCTTCTTCACTTCAGGTTCTATATTTAGCGATTAGGGATGTTTAATCAGGAATTATGAAGATAAATCTTACCATCTATAAGTGCTAAGTTCTCCTTTGAGAGCTTATTTCTCTTCTTCTGTCTCAGATTCATTCTCTTCAGACTCTGAACTGTATGATTCATTGTTATCAAAGGAAGACTGTGAGCGAGAGTCCGGCAAGACTTTTTCTCCTAATAAGAAGACATCAATTCTATCTTCTATTACAGGTTAAAGACAAAGGAAGTACTATCGTCCTTGTTATTTCTCATTATGGAACATTTTTATCTATAAAATGATAGAAACTCAAGGTGTACCTCTTCTTCATCCTTGATATTTCCAAAGCCTTGGTAATACCCATTATTAATGCCAAAAACAGCTTTGTTCTGATTATGGAAAGAATCCCTGTTAGCTACACCGAGCATATGAGGATTCTTGTCAGAGTTGGTGTACTCTGACTTATTGGAGTCAACAAATCTGGAGTTGCTGGGATCCCCTTCTAGTCCGAGTGTAGTGTCTGAGAACATGTTCTTGCTCCTGCTGTTAAGGTTATTTCCTCCTAATTTCTCCATTTATAACAAATTTTAACCTTTTCTTAAAAATTTAATTTAGAATGGGGTTTTGGGGTTTTGGGGTTTTGGGG